TTATTGATGTAAAATCAACATCAATCATTTTATATCAAAATATTTACAACCCCTTTTTGTTTCTGATCTATTACACATTGAAATAAGAGAAAGAAATGGAATCCATAGTTTCTTTAGCTTTGGGTTCATCTAATAAGTGAGGTTTTTCGAAGAATTTTCAATTATTTATATATATTTAGCACACCATAACATCTTGTAGTTTTCAATTTTGCACAGCTGGCTTATATCAATTCAATATTATTTTGCGGGCTGTCTTGTCGTAATTCATAAAATTTCGTAGTTCCTTGCTAAGTGTACTATAAGTGGTGATATTAATTAGGAACTTCAAAATTCCATGGACTATGACATTGAATCCGGAAAACAATATCGATCCAATATTTTAGATTATCCATTTCCAAGGAGTTTAGAATTTTTTGGGCTCTTTTCAGTTAAAAGATTAAAAGGCATTGATGGAATGTCTCCTTGTTCCCTTTTTAAGCTTCTAATACCTTCAATGGCCAATGTGAGCAACTTTCATTCATCATTTTATTTAATGTTTGATCGATGATACTAGCAAAAACTTTAACGGCAAAAATGTACTTTGAATTTTACAAATAGAAAATACGTTTGAAAAAATATTTCAAATAAAATACAAAATGCTTTTCTCAGAAAAGTATTTAAATGCAAGATAAAATATGTATTTTTTTATTTTGTATTTGCGTTTTTAAATGCAAGTATTTCAAATAAATCACATCTCTGGATAGGCAGAATAATGAGTGACCACCATGAACTTCTTTGTTCAATTTTGGTAACGCTCCTATCACGTATGGTAAGCTACGTCATGGGTTCAGTTCAGCAAGTAGATGTCCATCATCTATCTAAATCGATCTTATTGAACATATTGAAGTACTACTATAGATGATGAGTTTTACCGCGCCGTTTGTTGATCTTTAATTTAAATTCAGACAACGATTTCTGCCTTTTTTTCCCGATATCTTGAAATGCTTTCTCGACCCATTTATAATTTAGAAAATAATTTAAACTGTATTGAAATGAAGCCCATTTATAACACACTTTGAGAATTAAATAAATACCAGTCATGTTTTTATTACGGTTATTCCCTGTATATGTTTATATATAACTAAATAAATTAACTTTTATGACAGAAATAGAAACTTTGAAATAATTGATGAAGCCAAAACAAGCAACTATATTAGTAGACTCGTGGCCTTGTTTTCATTAAGGGAAGCAATAAAATTTTACAAAGAAAACAGAAAATGAGATTTTATATTTTCGTTCACCAATTTTATATTCCTTACTCCTAAACATGCATTGCAACGATAGCTTTTAACTTTGTTCTTATTCTAATTAAATTGGTCAAAAAGGTTTTATAATAACACGGTTTATTTTTGTTCTGCCGTTCAAAGCATACCACGATTTGATGTAAGAGCTAGGGTTGCCATCCGTCCGGGTTTCCCCGGATTTGTCCTAGTTTAGGGGGCATCCGGAGAGCGTCCGGCGGGGAGCTTCATTTGTAGTCCGGGTTTAAAAATTTAAAGTCTGAGTACTTTTAAAATTTTCGTTTAAAAATTTAATTTATTTTTTTTAGGTTTCATATTTTTATAAGGTTTTGTGTTCATAACAAAGTATATTAATAATTTGTGTCTAATATCTAATTCTCTTATGCAGAATGACCGGAAATCGAAGAAAAAACATTTGGAGCGATTTTGGTCTGCAGCCCGATTCTGGATAATTACCCAAATTTAGACCGTATACCTGCCCATTCTTATGATTTGTGTATATGTGACCAATTGTACACCCGAAAGAAGACATTGAGGCCCGTTCGCTTATTTGCAGTTGTTTAAAACCAACTTGAATAAGTTAAAATTATCGTATTTTGTATTTTGATTAACAATTGTGATTAAATGATTACATCTTGAATATCGAAAGTAAGCATAATAAATTAAATTATTTGATA